AGGGATTGGCAGAGGGGGGTGGCGGAGACGGAGCGATTGGTAAGGTGAATGAGTCTGGCTGCCGTATTCAGGATCGACTTAAGCGGGGATAGCCTGTGGCGAGGCAGGCCAGTGAGGAGGGAGTTGCAATAATTGAGTCGTGATATGATGAGGGAGTGGATGAGCTGTTTAGTGGTTTCTGGGGTTAGGAACCTGCAGATTTTGGCGATTTTGCAGAGGTGGTGTCTGCATGAGTTAGTTAATGATTGGACTTGAGGCTGGAAGGATAGGTTGGAGTCCAGAATGACACCCAGTACTCTGTCCTGCGGGGCGGGCCTGATAGTGGCATTGTTGGACGTGATGGAGAAGTCAGTAGGGGGTGGTGTGCGGGCTGGGGGAAGACTAGGAGCTCGGTTTTGGAGAGGTTCAGTTTAAGGAAGTGGAGCGACATCCAGTCTGATATGTCATTCAGTAGGTTTGTGATTCGGGCGGAGACTGAGGGGGTGAGGCAAGGGGTTGAGAGATAGATTTGTGTGTCGTCGGCATAGAGGTGGTAGTTGAAGCCGTGAGAGTGTATGAGTTGGCCCAGGGAGGAGGTGTAGATGGAGAAGAGAAGGGGCCCGAGAGCGGAGCCTTGAGGGACCCCAACAGAGAGGGGGGAGTGAGGAGGAGGTGGTAGCATTATAGGTAATGCTGAAAGAGCAAAGTGATAGGTAGGATGAGAGCCAGGAGAGAGCGGAATCTCTGAGGCCGAGGGAGGGAGTAGTTTTTTGAGGAGGAGGGGGTGATCGACTGTGTCGAGGCCGCGGAGAGGTCCAGGAGGAGGAGCACAGAATAGTGGCCATTAGCTTTGGTGGTTAAAAGGTCGTTGGAGAGTTTGAGTAAGGCAGTTTTGGTGGAGTGTAAGGGACGGAAGCCGGACTGCAGGGGATCGAGGATGTTGTTGTCGTTGAGGTGAGAGCTTAGGCGAGTGTTGACTATGCGCTTGAGGAGTTTGGATGTGAATGGGAGCAGGAGATGGGTCTGAGTTTGTTCGGGTCATTGGGATCCAGAGAGGGCTTTTTAAGTATGGGGGTGATGTGTGCATGCTTCAGAGGGGAGGGGAATGCGCCGGAAGAGAGGGAAGAGATTGAAGATGTGGGTGAAGGAGCGTAGGATGGAGGGGGAGGGAGGTCGTAGTTGTGAGGGGATAGGGTCGAGGGGGCAGGTGGTGAGGTGGGCATCAGAGAAGATCTTGGAGACCTCCTTGATGGTAGTAAGGTCGAAGGTGTGGAGTGTTGAGGGGGCTTCAGTATCGGGAATGTTGGGTGGGGTGGGGTGGAGGACGGAGCAGTGTTTGGGGCCGTGGGAGAGGGGTGATGGGGGGGGTAGCTGTGTGAGAGGGGACGGGGTTGGAGGGAGTTTGAGCAGCGACAAAGTCTCTGCGGATTGTGTCGAGGGGAGAGGGGTGATGAGGGGGTAGTTGTGTGAGAGGGGATGGGTTTAGAGGGAGTGTGAGCTGCGGCGATGTCCTTGCCGATTGTGTCAATCTTGTTTTTGAAGTGATTGGCAATCTCAAGGGCGGTGATTAAGGTGCTGGGTGGAGGTGGGAGCGGAGAGAGTTCAAGGTGGAGAAGAATTGGTGAGGATTGGAGGAGAGGGTCTTGATGAGGGTCAGGAAGTAGGCTTGTTTGGTGGCGTGGAGGGAGGAGGTGTAGGTGTGGAAGGCAGATTTATAGCGGGTGAAGGCTTGCTGGGATCTGGTTTTGCGCCATAGTCGCTCCAGGGCACGACTGTCATTTGAGAGTTTGGCTGGAGCGGTCGGGGTCTAATGTTTCGTGTGGTTAAAGGTGCTAGTGAGTCAAGGGTTGTTGACAGCGCGTTGTTATAGGCAGTCATAGCCAGGTCGGTGCAGGACAGGGGGAGGATGCTGTCATGGAGTTGATCAGCTGCAGAGTGGAGGGGGGCAGGGTTCAGGTTGCGGAGGTTACGACTGGTAGTAGTATGACATTTGGAGGGGTAGGCGTTAGAGGACGAGGAGATAGAGAAGGTAATAAGGTTGTGGTCAGAGAGAGGGGAAGGGGGAGTTTGTGAGGTTGTGGGGAGCGCAGCGGTTGGAGAAGACAAGGTCCAGGATATTTGCGTCGGAGTGGCTGGTGGATTGCATGCACTGTGCAAGTGCAAAGGAGGAGGTTAGGTGGAGGAGTTGGGATGTGGTCGGGTTGTCAATGTTGACAGGGATGTTGAAATCCCCAAGGATGATGGTGGGTAGCACGGAGGATAGAAAGAATGGTAACCAGGAGGAAAAGTCATCAAGGAAGCAGGATACGGGTCCAGGAGGCCGGTAGATAATGGCAATCTTCAGGGGGGTAGGGGAGGACTCGGAAGGTGCTCTGTGGTGACAGGAGCAGACCAGCCCCACCACGTTTGCGACCGTTGGGTCTGGGTGAGTGGTTCCAGGTGAGGCCTCCATAGGAGAGTGCAGCAGGGAAGGTGGAATCAGTGGCCTGGATCCAGGTTTCCGTGATCGCTAGGAGGTTGAGGGAGCGGGAAACAAAGAGGTTGTGAATGGCAGTGAGCTTGTTGCATACTAATCGGGCGTTCAGGGACTGCGCACGAAAATGGGGGGGTGGGGGTGGTTTTGGGGAGCAGGGGGACAGATACTAAGCTGCGGGGGGGTTGCGGCAGGACGTGGAAGGATGCTGTGTGGGGGGTGAGCGAGGTGGTAGTAGAGGGCTGGGGTTCGGGGAGATGTCCCTCGCGGTTAGGAGGAGGAGAAGGGTGAGAAAAGTGGCATGGGAGCGGGATGTGCAGGAGCGTGTAATTCTACCAGTGAAGGTGTTTGGGTCAGTGGGAGAGTGGAGTATTAGGAGGAGGTGGGTGAATGCCGTAGAGGGGCGAAGGAAGCAGTGAGGACACAATATACAGTTGTTGGGAGGAGCAGAGGGATATAGAGAGTAGATTTTGGGAACGGAGAAGAGGAATATGAGAAGGGAAGAGTGGAAGAGGCATTTTAGGGAGGTACACGGGGTGGCGGATAGGAGTGCTGGGAGGCTTGGCTGTCAATAGTCCAGTGTGCAGTGGTGTATCTGGTCGCTGTGGCTTCGGGTAGCTGAGGTATAGGGAGTAAGGAGAGGGGATCACGTGTGGATGGATGGTTTCCAGGTGCGATTGATTGGAGACAGTCTGGCACGCAGTGGGGTCTCTCGTTGTGGTGTCTTTCATCTAGGGTTCTAGCCTTTAGGTCAAGTTGAGTTGGGGGTTTGTGTGAGTGGTCTCTGGGTGGACGGATCTGGAGCGTTGTGCGGCTGTTACTTGTCCTTTGGGTCCAGCTGGGTTGGGGTCGGCGTGAGTGGTGTCTGGGTGATCGGGTAAGGAGTGTTGTGTGGCTGTAACTTGCACATGCTCTTGCGGAGACTTGCTTGGCAGGGTTCAGGGGTCCAGGTGGAGGTCCCGGGGTGGTGGGGTGGAGGTGCGGGTTGCCTGTGGTGGTCCTTGGAGCCTTGTGCGCTGCTATGGACCCCCTCTAGGTGCTTATTGGTGGCATCCCGAGTTGATGGTGGCAGCTTTGGTGGGGGCGATGGCTGCTTCCCCCTCGCCACTGGAGAAGAACAGCTGGTGCCGGTGGCGTCCCGGGGGTGATGGCTGCTTCGCCCTCTCTCTCACCGGCGCGTGATGAAACAAAAGAAATCCAAGGACAGTTGTCGTTTTCACCAACCACTACTACAGAAGGCTTACCAGGAAAGGTGGAGGCAGTAGCATGTGTGCATGGGTGGAGCCACGCACACACGCTACTGCACATTCATGAAACGGTCGGTGGCCATTTTGAAAACTGTAAAATTTTTTGCCAATCAATGCCTAATGTTTGCTTACATGTGAGTGTCACAAGTTAGCCTGCAGCCTCCTGTTGCTTTGTCTTACCTCCTTGCAGTTTGTGTTTCCTTCACATGTGTGTCTCTCTCTGCTCACCTATGGGCGGCGTCTGCTATTCCCTGGGTTTTATGTTCTTCCCTTTCATCACTTCCTGGCCCGCCTCCTTGTCTGCCTGTCTATTTAAGACATGCTCAGTCTGTCCCACATTGCCTGAGCAACGTTTGTTGTCTGTGCTCCCTGTGTTCTTCCAAGTATCGGTCTAATGTTTCTGTGTACCGACCCTGGCTTTGTCTCTGACTTCTCTCCTACATCGTCCACCTGTGTACTTACCCCGGCTTCGTTCCTGACCTTGCTTGCCTTCTGCCTGTCCCGACTTCGGCTTGTCTTCTAGAATTCCTAGTCTACTCCAATTGCACCCTGCTCCCGCTGGCGGTCTCTTCTACCACAGCTGGGTGTACCTGGGGGCTGGGACCTGGTTCCAGCCCGCTCCAAGTCCATCCCCACCATCAGGGGCTTGATGAACAAGCGGGCTGGGGCTTAGACTCCGTGCCCTGGGGAACCCCAAGCTGTGGATTAAGAGCTCACCACCACAGGTGATGACAGTGCATGTTTCCACAAGTCCAAGCCTCATCCTGAATGGTTTAGCTACCCTAACTAAGGTCCATTGTTTGGAAGATCCTTATCTGCTGTTTTGGTGATCTGGAGGAAAATTCGAGAGTGATCGGCTTTCTGGATTGTTTAACAAAGCGCGATTTACCGCTCATTAACAGGGGGTCATGCCTTTCTGGTAAGCCTTCTGTAATAGTGGTTGGTGACACCACAACTGTCCTTGGATTTCTTTTGTTTCATCACAGCCTCTGGGACTTTTCTTTTATTTTTGGATGGACTATTTTTTTGACACATTTTTCACAGTTTTCATATGATTATTTGTAACTTTTTAAGCGCTGCACCTTTATGTATTTATTGTCCTGAGGTGTCTGTTTTACTGCTTCACCCAGAATACAAAAACTCCTTAAAACAAAAAGTTTTACTGGCTAGATCACCAGGTGAAATAAAGGAAAAAAAAAGCATAAAAAAAGAAAGCTAATGTAGCCACCTCATCTAAACTGTAATATATTACATATTTGTTTCGGGGTTTAATGCCTCTTTAATTTAATGAAAAGTGCAATATTATCCAAGTCAGGGCTTGAAAAAGCCGCTTGCCAAACGAGAGGAGAAATTCCTGTGTGGCGAATGGTGGCAAGCACAGATAATGGAATGAGCGGCTGCACCTGCGCTCCAGGCCTCATTGTGAAGCCGAGTTCCGGTTTCCAACTTACGGTTTCCGGCTTCTGCGGCACCGCCAGTACACTGGCAGCGCCGCTGAGGGGGACAGGTGCAGGAGAGGTCCGCTCTCCTCCGCTGAGAGGAGACACCCTCTCCACCGCCGTGGGGGACACGAGGACAGGCCCGCTCTCCGCCGCCTTGGGGGACACGAGGCCCGCTCTATCCCGCCTTGGGGGACACGAGGCTTGCTCTACATCGCCTTGGGGGACACGAGGCGCCGCTCTACACCGCCTTGGGGGACACGAGGCCCGCTCTACACTGCCTTGGGGGGACACGGGGCCCGCTCTACACTGCCTTGGGGGAAACGAGGAGAAGCCGCTCTACACTGCCTTGGGGGACACGTGACACCTGCCAACGGTGCACATCACTACACCCACCAGCTTAAGGTTAAATGACATTTTTTGTGCTGCGCTCTGGGGGCAAAATGATTTCGAAAAGAGTCGAAAAGAGTAAAAAAAAAAAAAAAAAACTAACAATGTTAAAAAAAAAAACAAAAAAAAAACAACCACGCCATTTTAGTGCTGCTCTCTGGGGCCTAAATATTTCAAAAGAGTAATTAAAAAAAAAAAGAAAAAAAAAAAAAGCACAGCACAGCTATGCACAATCAGCTACAAATTTAATTTAAGTTAAAAATAAAATTGGTAGCTGACTATGCATAGGAACACATCCTCATATGGTAGTTGTGAAAATTATCAGTGCCTCCCAGTTTTGACTGTGGTATCTTATATGCACCCTTTTTATTTTCCTTGGGTCGCCATTGGTCCCTCACAATTGTAATGCGTGGGCAGACCCCACCAAGCAAGCAGCTGTGCTCTGCCCTGCTCCTGAAAGGCAGCCCAGCCAGTGGACACACTGAGACACCAGAGGAGCCTTCAATCAGGCCAGCCTTTAATCTGAACTGCCGTTGAGCTGAACAACTGCCGTTGAGCTGAACAACTGCCGTTGAGCTGAACAACTGCCGTTGAGCTAATCTGCCATTAATGTGAACTGCTGTTATTATTATACAGTATTTTATATTATTATTATACAGTATTTATATAGCGCCAAAGGGTATGCTCAGCGCTGTACAGTAGCAAGGGGGACAATAACATGAGACAAGACAGTAACAGTACACTACACGAGGGGTTCGAGGGCCCTGCTCTTTCGAGCTTACAATCTAAGAGGGAGGGGAAGGTGGTACAGGAAGAGATGGCTGTGGGGGATGGAGGTGGAGGAGGTTAGTTGTTAGGTGAGGTCGGGTGTTAGGTGAGGTTGGGGTAGGCTTCCCTGAAGAGGAGGGTTTTTCAGGGTGCGCCTGAAGGTGAGGAGGGTAGGTGACATTCTGATGGATTGGGGGTAGGGAGTTCCAGAGGATGGGGGAGGTCCTAGAGAAGTCCTGCAATCGGGCGTGGAGGAGGAGACCAGGGAGCTAGAGAGCAGGAGGTCCTGTGAGGAGCAGAAGGCACGGGTAGGGTAGTATCTGGGTATCAGGTCAGTTATGTAGTTCGGGGCGGCATTGTGAATGGCTTTGTAGGTCAGGGTTAGCAGCTTGAACTTGATGCGTTGGGCAATCGGGAGCCAATGAAGGGATTGCAGAGGGGGGAGGCAGATGTGGAGCGCTTGGTGAGGTGGATGAGTCTGGCAGCGAGTTTAGGATCGACTAGAGTGGGGATAGTGTTCATTTGGGTAGGCCAGTGAGAAGGGAGTTACAGTAGTCCAGACGTGAGATGATGAGGGAGTGTACGAGTTGTTTTGGTGGTGTCTGGGGTGAGGAATGTGCGCATCTTGGAGATGTTGCAGAGGTGGTGCCTGCATGAGTTTGCCAACGATTGGACATGGGGTTGGAAGGACAGGTTTGAGTCTAGAGTGACACCTAGGACTTTGGCTTGCGGGGTGGGACTGATGGTGGCGTTGTTGGTTGTGATGGAGAGGGTGGGGGGGGGGGGCGCAGGCTGGGCTGAAAATTAGAAGCTCGGTTTTGGAAAGGTTCAATTTGAGGAAATGGAGCGACATCCAGTCTGATTATGTTTGATGAAAAAATTCCTCCTGCGCTGTAATGGACCTCAAAACCCTACCTATCAGCTGCTTACACTCAAACTGATACCCAACCAGTGCAAAATAAATATTAAACAATAGTGCAGTGCTAATAAACTAAATCACTATAGATAATGCTACATGGGCTAAAAAAGCCAAACACACCTACATGTGAAATAGTGATATTGAAAACATGAAAAATAAAAAATGAAAATATATGAAATGTGAAAAAATATGACACATCTTAAAGTGACCAAAATCATCTTAGTGCCCCACACACGTGCCAGCAAATAATATTGGAATAAAGATAACAAACTTAAATCACGTGATAGTGCCACTTCAAATCTCATAAAAATAACCAAACACATAAATATATAAGTCCAATATGAATAATTCAGTGATGCAACATACACATGCAATGTGCAATTGGTGCTCAATCGTGTAAGTGCCAACACACTTTTCCACTCCAGCTGCAGTGCCTCCTCACCTCCTTTCTATGACCCCTAAGGGCCTGAAAGCTTTCAGGATCACCCTGGATCCTCAACAATCCGTCTGGGATTGTTCTCCTATTAAGCCTCCTCCACCTTTTCTCCTCTGTGACCTTTGAGTCCTCTAGGAGAATCTTCTTTGTCACTATGTTCTGAATTCATGGCTCTTCACTTTCCCTTTTTGCATTTTCAAGGGCAGCAAGGATGGCTTGCTCTGCCTCCGTATTCTTTACAATCTTTGTATTTTCTAATGCTTTTTCAAAGTTGTCAACAGCAGACTGGTAATCTTTTAGTTTCAACTATAACAGCTTCCTTAAATTTCCCAATCCGAGCATATACTCTTCCGATATTATCCAGCGCCCGTGATTTTGCTTCAGGTAAGTCTTTCCTTGCTGTTCTTTCACATGCGTTTCTCTGTGCTCACTCACCGGGATGATAGGTGTGGTGGGGGGCAGGGCAGTTGCAAGGTCAGAGGAGGGGAGAGTTGATGGGGTTAGAGTGGGAGGGAGGCTAGGTGGGGAGGTAGGTTGAGCATTAGCGATGTCCTTACGGATTGCGTCAATTTTATTTTATTGAGCTAACCTGCGTTGTTTAATCTTAACTGCCGTTGATCTGAACTGCCTTATTTAATCTGACCTGCCGAAGAGCTAACCTGCCTTGTTTAACCACTTGCCTACCAGGCACTTATACCCCCTTATTTACCAGGCCAATTTTCAGCTTTCAGCGCTGCCGCACTTTGACAATTGCGCGGTCATGAAGCATTGTACCCATATGAAATTTTGATCATTTTTTTCTCACAAATAGAGCTTTCTTTTGGTGGTATTTAATTGCCACTGGGCGCTTTACTTTTTGGCGCTATAAATAAAAAAAATTGCAAAAAAAATTTGAAAGAAAAAAAAAAAAGTTTCTTTGTTTCTATTATAAATTTTTCAAACAGGTATTTTTTTTCTCCTTCACTGATGTGCGTTGATGAGGCAGCACTGATGGGCACTGATGGGCACTGATAGGCAGCACTAAAGGGCACTGATAGGCAGTACTAATGAGGTGGCACGGATAGGCGGCACTGATAGACAGCACTAATGAGGTGTCACGGATAGGCGGCACTGAATATGCAGCACTGATAGGCGGCACTGATAGGTGACACTGATGATGGGTACTGATAGACGGCACTGGATCTGGCATCACTGCTGGGCACTGACTGGCGGCACTGACTGGCACAAAACCCCTGGGCACTGACTGGCGACACTGACTGGCAGCACTGCTGGGCTGCACTGGTGGGTAGCACTGGTGGGTGGGCACAGGTGGGTGGCACTGCTGGGCACAGATCCCTGCTCTGACAACTGCGGTTCTCGGCAGTACTTTCCTCACGATCTGACAGCGTGAGGAAAGTGCAGCCGAGAACCGGCACTTGCAATTTCCCTGTGTGATCAGCGTGTCATTGGACACCGCTGATCACGTGGTAAATGGCCGCTGTGATTGGCCTTTTACCACATCACGTGATCAGCTGTGTCCGTAGGACACAGCGATCACGGAGATCGCCGGAGGTCTGTGCGCGCCCCTGGGGCGCGCAGGAGAGCGTGTGTTCTGGGAGGACGTCATATGACGTCCACTCAGAAACTGGGACGGCCGCAGTGTAGCCGTCATTCGGCTATCTGCGGTCGGCTACTAGTTAATCTTACCTGCTGTTGAGCTGACCTGCCTTTGACCTGAACTGCCTTGTTTAATCTTACCTGCTGTTGAGCTGAACTGCTTTATTTAATCTGAACTGCCGCGGAGCTGAACTGCCGCTCAGATGATCTGCCATTAATCTGCCTTCAAGCAGACCAGCCTTTTAAGCAGGCCATCAATCAGACCAGCCAGCATGACCAGACTTTAACCACTTGCCCTCCTGAGGATTTACCCCCTTAATGACCACGCCTCTTTTTGCTACTCGGCGCTGCACTAATTCAACTGATAATTGCAGCGGGTCATGCAATGCTGCACCCAAACGAAATTTACGTCCTTTTTTCACACAAATATAGCTTTCTTTGGTGGTATTTGATCACCTGTGCGCTTTTTATTTTTCACGCTATAAACAAAAAAAGACCAAAAAGTTTGAAGAAAAACGATATTTTTTTACTCTCGGCTATAAAAAGTATATAGTAAACTCAAAGTTAGTTATAAATTTAGGCCAAAATGTATTCTGCTCCATGTTTTTGGTAAAAAAAAAATCCCAATGAGTGTATATTGATTGCTTTGTGTGCAGTTATAGCGTCTACAAACTATGGTATAGATACTGCAATTTACGCCATTTTTTGCTATACAGCGCTGCGCTAGTTTAACGGACAATTGCGCGGTCATTCAATACGGTACATAAATTAAATTTACATCCTTTTTTTTCCCCCACAAATTGAGCTTTCTTTCGGTGGTATTTGATCGCCTGTGCGTTTTTTATTTTTGCGCTATATAAAAAAAAGGCTGACAATTTAGAGGAAAAAAAATATTTTGGACTTTTTGCTATAAAACATGTCCAGTAAAAAAAAATGTAAAAATCTAAATTTAGTCATAAATTTCTGCCAAAATGCATTCTGCGACATGTCTTTGCTAAAAAAAAAACCCCAATATGTGTAAGTTAATTGGT